AAGCTAACCACGAGTTACCGGTCTTGGTGTAGCTTTAGCTCATCGATAATTAAGCTGGTGTCACGTGACCCACTTTTAAAACTAATGGTGTAATGGGACCCATTTTTTGCTTCGCGCGGACCTACTGATGTCATGTGGACCTACTGATGTCATGTGGACATTCTGATGTCATGTGGACATACTGATGTCATGTACACTTACAAATTTCATGTGGACATACTGATGTCATATGGACCTAATAATGTCATATGGAGAGGAGATACTGATGACCTATGGATCTATCGACGTGTACCCAATAAGTCAATGACAGGAACACATCCAACAGAAACAAAACAAACGCACGAAGTCACGTGACTTTATCTGGTAGAATTAAAGATGGTCGCCCTTTGGCGGCGGCCCGCTGACTTCTGAGCTCAGTTTAGTCGGCCCACCGACACGACATGGCCCACCAACGTGACATCATCTCACCGCCAAGACACCGGCCCACCAACGTGACATTTATCTCCGTGCCTTGAGCTGTCAGTAACGTCCACGTTAATGTCGGATTATAAAGGCGGATTAACCACGTGTGAAATCTTGGTCAGACACCTCGCTTTACTCACTGACTCGCCAATATCTCCTCACAGCGCTTTACTCACTGACTGGCCAATATCTTCTCACAGCGCTTTACTCACTGACTCGCCAATATCTTCTCACAGCGCTTTACTCACTGACTGGCCAATATCTTCTCACAGCGCTTTACTCACTGACTCGCCAATATCTTCTCACAGCGCTTTACTCACTGACTGGCCAATATCTTCTCACAGCGCTTTACTCACTGACTGGCCAATATCTTCTCACAGCGCTTTACTCACTGACTGGCCAATATCTTCTCACAGCGCTTTACTCACTGACTGGCCAATATCTTCTCACAGCGCTTTACTCACTGACTGGCCAATATCTTCTCACAGCGCTTTACTCACTGACTGGCCAATATCTTCTCACAGCGCTTTACTCACTGACTGGCCAATATCTTCTCACAGCGCTTTACTCACTGACTGGCCGATATCTTCTCACAGCGCTTTACTCACTGACTCGCCAATATCGTCTCACAGCGCTTTACTCACTGACTGGCCAATATCTTCTCACAGCGCTTTACTCACTGACTCGCCAATATCTTCTCACAGCGCTTTACTCACTGACTGGCCAATATCTTCTCACAGCGCTTTACTCACTGACTCGCCAATATCTTCTCACAGCGCTTTACTCACTGACTGGCCAATATCTTCTCACAGCGCTTTACTCACTGACTCGCCAATATCTTCTCACAGCGCTTTACTCACTGACTCGCCAATATCTTCTCACAGCGCTTTACTCACTGACTTGCCAATATCTTCTCTAGGACATCTCGCTTTACTCACTGACTCGCCAATATCTTCTCACAGCGCTTTACTTACTGACTCGCCAATATCTTCTCTAGGACATCTCGCTTTACTCACTGACTGGCCAATATCTTCTCACAGCGCTTTACTCACTGACTCGCCAATATCTTCTCACAGCGCTTTACTCACTGACTGGCCAATATCTTCTCACAGCGCTTTACTCACTGACTCGCCAATATCTTCTCACAGCGCTTTACTCACTCACTGGCCAATATCTTCTCACATCGCTTTACTCACTGACTCGCCAATATCTTCTCACAGACACCCACACTGACTCGCCAATATCTTCTCACAGACACCCACACTGACTCGCCAATATCTTCTCACAGCGCTTTACTCACTGACTCGCCAATATCTTCTCACAGCGCTTTACTCACTGACTCGCCAATATCTTCTCACAGCGCTTTACTCACTGACTCGCCAATATCTTCTCTAGGACATCTCGCTTTACTCACTGACTGGCCAATATCTTCTCACAGCGCTTTACTCACTGACTCGCCAATATCTTCTCACAGCGCTTTACTCACTGACTCGCCAATATCTTCTCACAGCGCTTTACTCACTGACTGGCCAATATCTTCTCACAGACACCAGCGCTTTACTCACTGACTCGCCAATATCTTCTCACAGCGCTTTACTCACTGACTGGCCAATATCTTCTCACAGCGCTTTACTCACTGACTGGCCAATATCTTCACACAGCGCTTTACTCACTGACTCGCCAATATCTTCACACAGCGCTTTACTCACTGACTGGCCAATATCTTCTCACAGCGCTTTACTCACTGACTCGCCAATATCTTCTCACAGCGCTTTACTCACTGACTCGCCAATATCTTAACACAGCGCTTTACTCACTGACTGGCCAATATCTTCACACAGCGCTTTACTCACTGACTGGCCAATATCTTCACACAGCGCTTTACTCACTGACTGGCCAATATCTTCACACAGCGCTTTACTCACTGACTGGCCAATATCTTCTCACAGCGCTTTACTCACTGACTGGCCAATATCTTCACACAGCGCTTTACTCACTGACTCGCCAATATCTTCTAACAGACACCAGCGCTTTACTCACTGACTCGCCAATATCTTCTCACAGCGCTTTACTCACTGACTCGCCAATATCTTCTCACAGCGCTTTACTCACTGACTCGCCAATATCTTCTCACAGACACCCACACTGACTCGCCAATATCTTCTCACAGCGCTTTACTCACTGACTCGCCAATATCTTCACACAGCGCTTTACTCACTGACTCGCCAATATCTTCTCACAGCGCTTTACTCACTGACTCGCCAATATCTTCTCACAGCGCTTTACTCACTGACTCGCCAATATCTTCTCACAGCGCTTTACTCACTGACTTGCCAATATCTTCTCACAGACACCAGCGCTTTACTCACTGACTCGCCAATATCTTCTCACAGCGCTTTACTCACTGACTCGCCAATACCTTCTCATGATATAACTGATGCGCTCACCGTTTCTAGGTCGTTACATTAGATTGTATGGTACGTCGACGTCTTAATCTGGGCCAAAAATTTTGAGTAAAAAAAATCAGCAAAAATTCAAAGCAAACAAATGCAGTTAGCCATTTAACATGCGACAACAGAAACACAATGATGACAAGACTGGAATCTCTGCCTTATAATAACCAACCTTATCATAATGCCATCTCTCTGCCTTATAATAACCAATCTTGTGTTAGATTTTAATAAAGCTGATTTGTAAAATGTGCGTTATGCGAGGGGTTGTCTTTCTTGTAGAGAATCGATGGGTTAAACAGGGGGAAATGGCACGTGCAAGGCTGGAGGTCAAGGCCAGACTTAACCAATCAGATATTTTCGTGGTAGTCACGTGACTAAAGCTTTTAACCTAATCGAACATTGTATTGAAACCACGTGACATCCGTCCTGTGTTGGTCTGTGGCCAGCGTCACGTGGCTAGACGGCCACTCAACGGTGTGGGATTGTGCAATCGTGACGTCACTGTACGGCCACAACAATCATGGCGTGGGATTGTACAGCCACTCAACAATCATGACGTGTTTTACTATGAAAGAAAGCTCCTGCCACAATAAACTGATGACGGGAGAAAGTAGAGACAAAATAGTGTACACGGCTAGTAGTGGGTAACCTGACAATTGTAGACTGAAGAGTTTACACAGGCTAGTGATGGGTAGCCTTACAATTGTAATGTGTACACAGGCCAGTGGTGGGTACATCTGTACACAGGCTAGTGATGGGTAGCCTAACAATTGTAATGTGTACACAGGCCAGTGGTGGGTACATCTGTACACAGGCTAGTGATGGGTAGCCTGACAATTGTAATGTGTACACAGGCTAGTGATGGGTAGCCTAACAATTGTAATGTGTACACAGGCCAGTGGTGGGTAGCCTAACAATTGTAATGTGTACACAGGCCAGTGGTGGGTAGCCTAACAATTGTAATGTGTACACAGGCTAGTGATGGGTAGCCTGACAATTGTAATGTGTACACAGGCTAGTGATGGGTAGCCTAACAATTGTAATGTGTACACAGGCTAGTGATGGGTAGCCTAACAATTGTAATGTGTACACAGGCTAGTGATGGGTAGCCTGACAATTGTAATGTGTACACAGGCTAGTGATGGGTAGCCTAACAATTGTAATGTGTACACAGGCTAGTGATGGGTAGCCTCACAATTGTAATGTGTACACAGGCTAGTGATGGGTAGCCTAACAATTGTAATGTGTACACAGGCTAGTGATGGGTAGCCTAACAATTGTAATGTGTACACAGGCTAGTGATGGGTAGCCTAACAATTGTAATCTGTACACAGGCTAGTGATGGGTAGCCTAACAATTGTAATGTGTACACAGGCTAGTGATGGGTAGCCTAACAATTGTAATGTGTACACAGGCCAGTGGTGGGTACATCTGTACACAGGCTAGTGATGGGTAGCCTAACAATTGTAATGTGTACACAGGCTAGTGATGGGTAGCCTAACAATTGTAATCTGTACACAGGCTAGTGGTGGGTAGCCTAACAATTGTAATGTGTACACAGGCAAGTGGTGGGTAGCCTAACAATTGTAATGTGTACACAGGCTAGTGATGGGTAGCCTGACAATTGTAAGATGAGTATCTCTGGTAGTAAGCCGGGTAACTGTTCAACAATAGTGGAAGTATCAAGGGAAAATGTGTACAGGAATAGTGGAAGTATTGATGATGGTACATCAGTCACAATGGTTATGATGGTACACCAGTCACAATGGTTATGATGGTACAAAGTCACAATGGTTATGATGGTACAAAGTCACAATGGTTATGATGGTACACCAGTCACAATGGTTATGATGGTACAAAGTCACAATGGTTATGATTGTACAACAGTTACCATGGTTATAATGGTACACCTGTCACAATTGTTATGATGGTACAACAGTCACAATCGTTATGATGGTACAACAATTTTTAAGATAGTGCAACAACACCAACAGACCACTCATCTACCCCAACTAGACCAAAGACCGCCACTGAAATAGAAACTGATGTAGACAGCTTATGGCGACATTACGGATACGCTATCTATCTGTTATCTAACTGTTCTGTAATCAGACGTGTATTTCTTTATTTCACCCAGATAGATAATTATAGAACAATAGCTTGATAAAAACATTCACTGAGTTGAGCTGGGTATTTGAGTAGGTCTTGAGGTTTTAAAAAATATTTTTCTGATTTAACTTGTGGTAAGTATCAATAACTGGTTTTTGTCTTGATAATTTTAATTATTGCCGATGGAATATGTAATAATTATGTTAATCACAGGTGTTCTGTGTAGCCTTCATAACACACATACATGCCTAGATGTCATTTTGTTGTGACATGAAGTCACCTACACATTCCTTAGTGTCACCTGCACTCGCTCTTAATGTCATCTACACATACCTTGATTTTAGTTGTGACATCATGGCACAAGAAGGTGACATCAAGGCAACTATAATGACATCAAGGCACGATGTCACCTAGTCCTGCCCTGTACCATCTAAGTACATCTACACACGCAGCTAATGTTTTAAACCACTTCACCGAGATATCTTCAGCCCGTTCCATCTCAATTTGTGAGTTTATCTTCCCCCCCCCCCATGGACCACACATACACTCTCTGGTCCATCTCAATTTGTGAGTTCATCCCCCCCCCCCACACACACACTCGATGGTCCATCTCAATTTGTGAGTTTATTTCCCCCCCCCCCCCCCACTCGCTAGTCCATCTCACTAGATCACACTTATCACGTGTTGGAAATTAGCTCCAGATTAAATCTACTGCCGTGTTCAGCTACATTTCTCCACAATTGTTGGGCTATTTTGATAATTTTTATATACTGCCTCCTTAGAATTTTGTAAATGAAATTTAAGAGGTTTAATTAAAAGAAAAAATTGATGTAAAAAAAGATTCATATGTAATTTTCAGGAGGGTTGTAGGCTGAGGTGTGACGTCATTTTACGGGGGGGGGGATGGGTGATCTTGCCTTTTTGTGACGGGTGGTGCCGACAGAGAATAAAATTTTATGCTACATTATGTAGACTATGACGTCTGTACATTATGTAGACTATGACGTCTGTACAAATGATCTCAGGACAAATGATATCAGACAAAATCTATCAGACAAAATATCGCAAGACAAATGATCTCACGGACAAAAGATACCAGGACAAAATATATCAGGACAAATGATATCATGGACAAAAGATCTCAGACAAAACATCTCATAGCTAAATTTTAATAGTGTTTTGGATGATTTTAGTTAATTATTTATTATTGACTGTCATATGGTATTGTTTACTATATTTGATATTGTTTATAGGCCTATATAATATTTTTTAGGAATGTTTGACGTCTGTACATTATGTAGAAAATGACGACTGTACGTTGTGTAGAAAATGACGTATGGTATGTGTGTGTATGGTGTGTATGTCTGTGTATGGTGTGTGTATGTTAGTGTATGGTATGTGTGTGTCTGTGTATGGTATGTGTGTGTCTGTGTATGGTATGTGTGTGTGTGTGGTGTGTATGTCTGTGTATGGTGTTTGTATGTCTTGTATTTGTCCGTGTATGGTGTGTGTGTGTGTATGTCCGTGTATGGAATGTGTGTATGTCTTTGTATGGTGTATGTATGTCTTTGTATGGTGTGTGTATATAATGTACATGTATGTACAACTGTGTGTGAGGTGTTTTTGACACGATGTTTTTATCTATAAGCTCTTCCAACAGACGTGACGCAGACGTAAAGAAACTTGAAGCAGACGTGAAGCAGACATGGTTTTGTCAGGAACCCAGAGATGCTCCTCCTCCCTGCTTGTCATCGGAGTCCTGGTCACGCTGGCTGGTTACATCTCACCCTTCTGGGAGGTCTCGACCTTTGGCCCCGACATGTTTGGGAATGACCCAGTCACAAAGGTAAATCTCGGCAATATCGAAGCTTTAGGTCAAACTTATCCCAATGGTAAATCTTGGCTACACCAAAACTTTAGATAAAACTTATCCCAATGGTAGATCTTGGCTACACCAAAACTTTAGATAAAACTTATCCCAATGGTAGATCTTGACTACACCAAAACTTTAGATAAAAGTTATCACAAAGGTAAATCTCGGCAATACCGAAGCTTTAGGTCAAACTTATCCCAATGGTAAATCTTGGCTACACCAAAACTTTAGATAAAACTTATCCCAATGGTAGATCTTGGCTACACCAAAACTTTAGATAAAACTTATCCCAATGGTAGATCTTGACTACACCAAAACTTTAGATAAAAGTTATCACAAAGGTAAATCTTGGCTACACCAAAACTTTAGATAAAACTTATCCCAATGGTAGATCTTGGCTACACCAAAACTTTAGATAAAACTTATCCCAATGGTAGATCTTGACTACACCAAAACTTTAGATAAAAGTTATCACAAAGGTAAATCTTGGCTACACCAAAACTTTAGATAAAACTTATCCCAATGGTAGATCTTGGCTACACCAAAACTTTAGATAAAACTTATCCCAATGGTAGATCTTGACTACACCAAAACTTTAGATAAAAGTTATCACAAAGGTAAATCTCTGCAATACCGAAGCTTTAGGTCAAACTTATCCCAATAGTAAATCTTGGCTACACCAAAACTTTAGATAAAACTTATCCCAATGGTAGATCTTGACTACACCAAAACTTTAGATAAAAGTTATCACAAAGGTAAATCTTGACTACACCAAAACTTTAGATAAAACTTATCCCAATGGTAGATCTTGGCTACACCAAAACTTTAGATAAAACTTATCCCAATGGTAGATCTTGACTACACCAAAACTTTAGATAAAAGTTATCACAAAGGTAAATCTTGGCTACACCAAAACTTTAGATAAAATGTATCCCAATGATCTAACGACTAAATATACTTCTGCTTGCAGAATGGCGACCTGACGCAAAGCGTGAGCGTCGGGCTTGTCTTTGGCTGCGCGCACGTGACCTTGAGCCAGTTGGACACGTGTGAGTTCCTGCCGTGGAAGTTTGAGACAAAAGACAGCGACCTCTACTTTCAGGTGGTTCGCATCATGGCGGCCGTGTCCACGTGTCTGATGCTGCTCACCTTCTTCGGCTCGCTCATCTCCTGTTGCACGAGCAGCCTGGGTGTCTACAGGTTCGGGGCCGTCACATCCCTGCTGGCCGGGCTACTGGGCATCGCCTCCGTCTCCACCTTCTCCGCCTGCACCAAGGGGGACCTCAACCCGTTCGGGCCCTTCGGACAGTTGAAGCTCGGCTGGGCGTTCTACCTGAGCGCCGCTGGGAGTGGATTTTTGGTGGGAGCGGCTTTTGTTTCGCTGGTGCTGCGAAAGCCAGGGAAATATTTTCAGTCAACCACGACCCAGTTCGGCGTCCACAACCCCAGCTACGTGCCTGATTATAAGAACAACACCCAGCAACAGCCCTACCGCTTTTAGTGACGGAACAATCTAGAACATCAAGCAACAACCCCAGCTACGTACCTGACTATAAGAACAACACCCAACAACAACCCTACCGCTTTTAGTGACAAGAACAAACCAGAAAAGATAACTTACAATGAAAAATGAAATACAAACCGACAAATGAACTTTGAAAATAAAATAAATGTGCAATCCTAAAAACTACTCGAATTTCTTCTCATTTGTTTATCATTTTTAAATGTTCATTCAGAAAATCCATTTTAGAAGTTGCAATCGTTTGATTTTAACGTCATGAAACTTCTATATAAAACACTTGAAGCTCTCCTGCCGGCTACAAGAAAACAAATCTCAGGCTGAGGAGGGTCGCTTACGGTCCGATTTATTGATTGGGGATCGATATTATTTGGGCGTTGAGACTTTTGAAAGGGGCATCTGGTGGTACTTCTTTGAACCAGATGGAAATCGTTTTTCTCACTTTGGTGTCACCATTACTGACTGAGGGGGGGGGGGGAATGTATTTTTAGCACTGTTTAAATAGATGATATTTTTTTCAGTGGTGGCTTTAAGGTCAAATGAGTGGCTGATGGGGCTTCGAGAATACGTTTTAAAATAGCCAAGAAGTAAAATGTATTGAAATGGGTGACATAACCATTTCGTGTTAAACTAAATCAAGACTTAGTTCACTTGACAGAATACGGAAACAATGTTTAAATTTGTCTTGCACTTTTCTTTTAATTATAATTATATAATTAGACCCTGCAATTAGCATCGTTCAGTTATTATTTTTAATTTTCTTGTGATATGTTTAGTATCATAAATACAAAAATGGCTATTTTTATTCTTTTTCTCAAATTCAGTAATCGATTTCATTATCATGTTAATTGTGTGATAATGGATCGGTTGTCCATTCAAGTCGGCTGTTAAAATTTGAAACGATACCGTATATCGAGGTTAAGTATCGATGGTGACAGTGACGGATCAGTGAGTAATCGACAGCGTCCGGCCATTTGCCATTAGCGGGGTCTGGAGCAGCATTTCCGGTGAGGAGGGCGGGCAGATGGCGGCAACATGCCGGCAACAGTCAACTTGTGTCCGTCTGCTGGGTAGCAGCAGGCGGCTACAATCGTTCGGTCTTGTCTAAAGGTGGCTGTCTGAATGTGTCTTGTCTAAAGATGGCTGTCTGAATGTGTCTTGTCTACGGGTGTCTGTGTCTTGTGTAAATGTGTCCGTCTGATTGTGTCTTGTCTAAAGGTGTCTTGTCTAAAGGTGGCAGTTAGAATGTGTCTTGTCTGAGTATGGTTGTCTGCATGTCTAGAAGACAGTCTCAAATATGTCTCAATACCTGTGACTTGTGGGTGGGAAAGCTCATTCCGTGTATTATATTCCACTTGACACCCCGTGTTTACTTATCCACCTAATCCAGCCACCACCTCGTGTCTACTAATCCCCCTTATCCACCCACAATCTTGTGTCTGCTAATCCGCCTAATTCACCCACCACCCGTGTCAACTAATCCACCCACCATCTTGTGTCTGCTAATCCACCCACAACCCCGTGTCTGCTAATCCACCTAATCCACCCACCACCCGTATCTGCTAATCCACCTTATCCACCCACAACCCCGTGTACTAATCCACCCACCACCCCGTTTCTACTAATCCACCCACCACCTTATGTCTGCTAATCCACCCACCACCTTATGTCTGTTAATCCACCTAATCCACCCACCACCTTGTGTCTGCTAAACCACCTAATCCACCCAACATAGCGTATGTAGCTGTCAGCATTGTCGTTCAACAAGCTATCAAATGGTGAAAAAACGTTTTGATATTTAACTCGTGACGCGGTCATCTCCTGAAATACTCAGTATCCATGACAACAATAAGCAATTCCCTACAATTACAACGTGTGTGTGTGTGCTGCTATATACCCCCCCCCCCCACCACACTACATCAACATCACACCCCTTCAATGCCTGGCTACTTAATTCCATATCTCACTTTCATAATGATTACTCGTGTGGCATTTGATGCACAATGCGAGGTTCTTGTCGGGCCACGCGACAAATTCTAGTGGAGCCATGGGTCAATTTCTCTTGGAGCCATGGGTCAAATTCTAGTGGAGCCACGAGGTCAATTTCTCTTGGAGCCATGGGTCAATGTTAGGTCAGAATTCCACAAACACCTATTCACTAGATAATTACAGGGTACACAGTAGGGATGGACAGTAGGTGACACGTTCAAAGGAGACTGACCGCTCTGACAGGACAATAGTAGTCTTTATACTGACCAGTAGCCAGGGTTGTTAGCGCCAGGGGGGATAATTTGTTAGGTCACATGTTCTGAGCTCATTGTCCCGTGGGAACAGCTAGGGGGTTAAGACAGGGGTATAAATACAGGCAGGTTAGTTAGTCTCTCGCTCTCTCTCGCACAAGCGCTCCCGACGTTAGCGGTTAGGGGAAGCCTCGCTCAGCAGAACAGGCATTCAGCACATTAATAAACAGCATAAACTAAGAAGGTCTCCTGTTCCGTTGATTACTTCACTGTAGCTGACTCGGGTAGAATAATTAAATACCCCTAGACAACGACGGCCTTATTGGCTAGTGCCCGAGCCAGTGTCAGCAACGTATTCGGCCGGCGACTAAGCAACCGGACGGCAACATCGTAGTCCGGTCTGCAACATCTGGGGGCTCGTCCTATCGGACATAAGGGCCTCTCACAAGATCGAAGCTTCCCGCATGATATTTTTCCTGCACAAGTTGTCGCTATTGCAACTGTTCCTGTAAGAAGCTGTTCCTGTAAGAAGCTGTACCAGTAAGAAGCTGTTCCTGTAAGAAGCTGTTCCTGTAAGAAGCTGTTCCTGTAAGAAGCTGTTCCTGTAAGAAGCTGTACCAGTAAGAAGCTGTTCCTGTAAGAAGCTGTACCAGTAAGAAGCTGTTCCAGTAAGAAGCTGTTCCTGCAAGAACTGTTACTGCCCTCGTATCAAGCTATCCTGTACGAAACTGTTCTGGTACCAGCTGCTCCTGTATTGGATGTTCCTGTAAACTAAACTGTACTGTGCAACGAGCTCCCGTAACAACCGTTCCCGCAAGACGCTATCCGTGTTAGAAGCTGTTCCTGCAACAGACGTCCGTAAACAACGTTCCCATACGAAGTGTTCCTTGGCCAGAGTCTAGCAAGTCACGAAGTGAGCCGTGTGAAGACTACGCTGATGTCCACCGAACTCATCGTTGATGTCCTTTAGTCTACCAACCCAGAAGCCAAGTGTATTTTGTGTGTGAGCGTGTGAAGGTGCAGCAGCCTGCTGATATATTGGACCAGCACTCCTGACCTACAATCACACTCTGGGGTAAGTGCCTTTTGTATCAGCCCTCGTGCGGTGCTCTCGGCAAGCAACTTACTCTGGTTTTCTTCTACCATTGGGGTTAGATATACCCGCGTGAAATTCTCTATAGTCGTAGAGGTTAAGTAAACTTCCTGAGTTGCCATTACTGGGGTTTCTAGGTAGGCTAGTTGGGAATTTTTCGTTAACATAAAGCATACACGGCAGTCTCGGCGTAAGCGTCACAAACAGTTGTTACCTGCTAGCGTTGTAGTGGGCGTAACCTTAACCGCTGTAGTTACAATAGGTCGTACATTCGAATAAGACGTGTCAGACGTACACCCCCGCTGGTCACGCTACACGGACCGCAATTAACCCTTCCGCCTAGTTGCGTGCCTGGACTTTCACTGACCACTACTTGACATTGTTCGTCTTTCATTTCGACCAATAGAAACTACCCGACACGCCCACCGTGACTGTGACAATGAGCGGTGAAGATAAATTGTCGCTTGGCTATTACTTGGCATTGGGTCAGAAGTATAAAATTTGCCAAGGGAGTAAACTATTAGAGTGGGCTGAAAATAAACTAGCAGAAGCAGAAGAAAAACATAGAGAGGAAACAAAACTAAAGATAGAGTTAGCCGAACGAGAGGCTAAGAGAGATTTAGAAAAACTGAGAATAGAATCAGAAGAAATGGTTAAATTAAAAACCCTCGAACTGGAGCAACAAAGTTTGTGTAACCAACGGGTAGTTGAACAAACAAAATCATATGTCCCACGTCTCAAGCTGATTGGTTTAAAAAGTAACGGTGGTCCAATGGACATGGAAGTAGTGATAGATATTTTTGAAAGAGAAGCTAGAGAGGTAGGGTTAGATCATAGATATTGGTGCCATGAGTTCAGGAAAGTCCTGTTAGACAGAGGCTGTAATGCCTGGTTAACTGAGCTAGGAGCAGAAGAAGACTACACCAAATTAAAACGAGAAGTTCTGAAACATTTTGGGCTGACAGAGTCAGGCTACAGCAATAGGTTTAACTCATCCAAACCCAACTCTGAGGACAAACCAGGAAGCTACATTAGGAGAACTAGACATTATTTGAAGAGATGGGTCGAACTAAGCGGGATAGAGAAAACTTATGACGGTCTGTTTGATCTGATTCTTAAAGATAAAATCTTAAGGACAGTAAGTGAAGATATCAGACAACACATTCTAATACATAACCCTAGGACTGTTGACGAGGTGGAGAAACAGTGTGACAACTATTTCGCTATATTTCCGACGAAACAGCTAGGCGACTCACCAGATGCACCGACAGAGCTTATAGCTACCATAGCAGAATCAATGCAATCAGTCTTAAAAGATGACCGACGTCTTAGTAGATCAAATTCACCGCACTTCAGACACAGCTATAGACACAACACACATAGCTCGAAATCACCGCAATACAGACACCATCCTAGGGACAACTCTGGTCCTCGTCGATCACAATTCACAAAACATCAGGACGGACGCCTCAGCACGCGGCATAGGCGCAGTGCTACTGCAGGCTAAAGAGGGGGTGCTGCGGCCCGTCAAATATGTCAGCAGGAAGTTGCTACCGCGAGAGACGAGGTACTCAACAATTGAGAGGGAATGTTTGGCCATTATCTGGGCAGTGGGGAAGTTAGCACTGTACTTAAACAACGTACACTTTACACTCCAAACGGACCAACGAGCTTTGAAGTATTTAAATAACTGTAGTTACAGCAACTCTAGATTAACTCGATGGTCTCTATTGTTACAAGAATTTAAGTTTACTATAGAGCATATACCAGGAAAAGATAATATAGTAGCGGACATGCTATCAAGGGAATAGAGAGAATGAGTACTAGGGGGTGGATTT